CAGTGCATTTTGCAGGCTGAAATGGAGATTTTGGTATTTTGTCGGGTGATTGTTCAAACTGTTTTCTATTCATTTTTTTCAGTTCTTACTTATCAATGCCCTTCAAAGTGATAATAGTAATAAAGTTTATTTCTTGGGGGGCATAAATATATTTTAGGTGCCTTTCAGGGTCATTTTGACCCTTCCCATCAATTTGAACTGAAATATGTTTGAGTTAGGCTCCTCTTAACTATATAATTGCCTTGTGGCTTTCAGTTTAGAGGTGCTGAGTACATTATGATTTGAATGAAATTTTTTTTTTAAACTTTCTTTGTTAGGTTGGTCTTGGTAAAGACAACACTTTGTTTGCATTAGTGGAGGGATTTGTAAAATATAGCAGTGAGCGTGCTGAACCATATCATTGGTGTCTGGGTCAACAGGAACCAGTTGAGGAAAAGAAGTATATTAGTGTTGTGGCAAGGGAGCCATTTAGAGGACACAAACTTGTTCCAGTGCGAGATGTGTATAAAATTGCTGACCAATAATATGCATAGTGTCTGAATGATTTTTACCTTAGGGATATTTATAGATTATAATTATCAAACCTCTCTAAGATGGACACATAAAGGATTGTGAACATGTGCCAGTCTTATTAAGCTTTTAAGGAACTTAAAGGAGTGGGACATAATCTCAGTGTTATCTGTGAGGGCTACGTCTTTAAAAAGTGAATTGTCTGAGAAGAGTGCTTCATTCAGAAAGTGTCTTCTATTGCATTTTTTCACAGAGAATATTGCTATTAATCATAACTGTTAAAAGCTGTTATTTTTTAAATTATGTCTCCACTGTTCCAAGAAGATTTTAAAAAATTTTTTCAAAGATTTCGAAACCTTGGATGGAGAGATTTCTCATCACTTTCAATACCAGTATGTAAATGTAAGGAAAATAAAATTCCTGGACCAATGAAGTTTGTATGATAACTGAGATATTACGAGCGCCCAGATTGGTCAAAAACCAATCGTTATTGCACCGTAAACCCTAGGAAATTGTAAAGAAATAAACCGAAATTTCCATCAGTTTACCAGCGTAATAACCCACTCGAGATGTTAGGAGAACACGAAAAAAGTGGGTTATTACGCCGGTTAACCAATGGAAAGTGCGGTTTATTTCTCAAGTACCCAATGGAGAACAGTAATTCGTGACTGGGGGTATCATTGTGCTAAATATTAGGAAAGAAAACGCCCTTCACAGTCATAAGTTGTCTCGGTGGTTGAGAGTGACTTCCTAGTTCTCTTGAGTGTGGGTAAGAGAAATGTCTTCGAATTGCCATATTGCGCTTATCCTCCTAAGAAAAAGACAGAATAAATCATAAATTTGTTGGATGAAGAAATGAAAATTAAAGCTATTACGAATTGCATTTCAGTGTGATGCTATCAGTGGGTGAAACAGGAATATAAACGTAAGAAAAGTTAGCGGAGAAAGGATTGATGGCCACCGTAAAAACTCTCAAAGCTGACGTTTTGAACGTTAGCCCTTTCGTCAGAGATAGGCTCGAAACGTCAGTTTTGAAACTTAACCCAGTTGATAAAACCAAGATTTTCTCGTTTCCATCCAGTTTGATTGAGTTCATCAGTCCAATCCCTATTCACGTTTCATCAGCTGGAAACTTCTCTGAGAAATGTATAAGCATGAAAGCCATTTAAACTAATTGTTAACCCTCACACCCCTAAGAGTGATTAGCATCTTAATTCTCCTCTCAGCATCAGCCCTGAATTAAACATGAAGGCAACGAGAGGAAAGGGAATGATCACCAGCTTAAGCGGATCCTGCGTTCATCATATTCCGTTCCGATTACAGGGGTGTATATTCTACATTCGATCAACGCTTTACAAATTAGGTTTGCCTGGTGCTAACGTATTAGACTAGTAAGGGGTCAAAGTTGGAGGCCGGGCCGGGCCAATGCGCTGTGTTCTTGGGCAAATCACTTCATTCTCATGTTGCCTCTTTCCGCCTAAGAGTATTCAGCATGTAGGTACTATGGCGGACTGTCAGATAAACTTGATGATATCAAGTTGCAGAGGTTTACAAGGTTTTGTAATGGAGTAGCCCCTGCTCATGAACATGAATTTTTTATTATCATTGCCGGTAATTCAGATAAAGCTAAACATTGTCTCATACCTGGTGAAGGGGTCTTGAAGTGGTGTCTCCGTTTTGGTTAGACTCTGAAGTTACCTCACTTCGCCTCATCATGTATGATGAAGCGCGTTTGCGTATCTGAATTGGAGGAGATCCAGGCGTCTCCTTGCTTTCCTGCATTGGGTCTTGTTCATTTGCGTGCAGAGTAAATGTCCTAAAATAACCTTGTTGCATTTGAGTGCGCGGAGAATATACAGGGCTAGAGCTGTTACTTTGTATCGTAGGCTCCTTGTTAATGTTTAAGTTGTCAAAGCGGCGATGAAGTTTATTCGGCGTGATTGGAGAGGCATTTTGGTTTTGAGTCTCCCTTGGGTTGCTGAGGACGGTAGATTGAGAAATTTGGCCAGGATATATGATCCTTGATAAGTCCTTCACTGTTAATTTTGGAACACTCATCGGGTGTGCTTTTCTGTTTCCAAGAGGTACATTTAAACCATCTTTGTTTTCATGGTGACTGCTACTGATAAACAACTGCGAAGACATACCACCTCTATGATCCAAAGAAGTCTTATAATTATCTGCTCTGCTAAACCTTTCGTTGTTTGCTGTTGAGTTCTCATCCGAAAGTCCTTCCCTC